ATAGGGCATATATGGACCCGACATCTACTGCTATATATCAGCCGGCAGCTGCTCATCCCGACATATGTTACTGGTATAGTGACTATTGGGGTCGGCTGGACCGCCCTGTGGTAGGTCGGGATACTTACAGGTAATGTTCTTATAAACCAAGAAGCCTTTCCGGTCAATGGTACTGAAGGGGGCGACATGTATCCCGCCTCTGAAATGGGAGCCTGATCTTATTGAATTGGGTTGTCGTTGTAATTCTCCTAGCAGAAGCTATGTTAAGACTATATCCAGTAACCATCAACACAGCAGCCTAGGCGAGCCGCGTATGAATTATGTCGTTAATTCACTTTCACCGGGAAGTTTTATTCTGACAAGCTTCGCAGAGTTAATGTATCGTCAAAATCGGCCACCGTCATCGAGAAGGAAAAGGGGAAGGCTACAGCTGGTATCTTTGACGCCAAGTTCTCCTGGTCTGAGGTACTGGACACGGCCGCCGAAGTTTACTATGGATTTGCCTTCTGGTCTATGCTGACCGGGCTCGGCGTAACCATCTGGTATTTTCCACTCTGGTATATGGGCATCTCGGGCTACGAAGCATTTGTCATGTCAACAATCGGGCCTCTTCTTCTAGGTGTCAAACCAGTCCGGTCCTTGGTTCTCAAGAACCTGCGCGCGTTCCATCTCCTATCTCTCGGGGGTCTTCTTGCGTGGCAGTGTAAAGACCCGGCGTACAGACTCTCAACCGTTGGTATTGGTGTTGCGGTGTCATGTTTGTCGTGGGCGGCTACCCTATATTCTGAGTCGGGGAACGAGGCCAGGCTCGAATCAAAAATACTGGCTTGGATCAGCGGTCTCATCATGTCCTCCGCCGTCAAGTTCGCGTGGAAAACCAACAACCCGCTATGGCCAATCATGCATGATGCCAATGGTGGGCAAAATGGTATAGGGCTAGCACTGGCCATCCTCGCTATGCTGAGGTTTACTCGAAAGGCACCGTTAAAGGCTGCTGCCACCGTCAAAAAGGACGAGCAGAATGGATCATCGGTCCTTGCTGCCCTAGGCATTGGCGGGCTCTTCTTTGGACTACACTCTCTCCTCTCTGATACGAGTACGATGATATCGTGGGTTTGGGAGGGCTACCCAGTACAAGGACCCCTGGCTGCACCACACGGTTGGTTCACTGTGGCCGCGATGACGGCTGGCTTATTGACAAGAGTTCGCCAGCCGAGACTCGTCAGCACGTGGTCGGTTTACGGCGTCGGTTGCGTTGGAGCGGCCATCCTTACGTTGTATCCCAACTGGTTCGGCTACTATGGCGGACTTACGGTTGCCTTCTATCTGACAGCCATTGCTCCGGCCATGATCACGGCCGCGTCGAGAGGGAGCCCGGCAACGACCTTTGGCTTGGGATTCTTCATCTACAATCTCATGGTTCTGTTCCACGTGTGGGTTGTTGCCTATGCGTTCGTTCCTGGAGGGCCGCTCGTCAGAGAACACACGGACTGGATCATGACTACAATGATGCTTCTCATCGGCGCCGGGGTATTCAACTTGACATCTATTGGATCTCGTCAGCGTGAAATACGCGGGCAACCGTCCCAATCACGGCATCGCAAGTATCACACATTGGCCCTGGGAGTCATCAACCTATTCTTCATCGCCAATACAATTCGTCGGTTCCCGTCTAATGATTTCAAGCCCTACCACGAGGAATCAAGACTTATTACGACAGGCATCTGGACAGTCCACTTCTCTCTTGACAACGATATGTGGTCTTCGGAATATCGTATGCGTGACCTGATACGAGAGCTGGAGATCGACGTCATCGGCTTGTTAGAGACGGATTCTCAGCGCATCATCATGGGCAACAGGGATACAACACAGTTCCTCTCCGAAGAGCTGGGTATGTATGTCGACTACGGTCCTGGTCCGAACAAACACACCTGGGGCTCAGCACTTCTATCCAAGTTCCCGATCATGAACTCGACACACCACTTACTTCCGTCTCCAGTGGGTGAGCTTGCCCCAGCTATCCACGCAACCCTCGACGTCTACGGCGAACTGGTCGACGTCTTCGTCTTCCACTCCGGGCAGGAAGAGGACCCCGAAGATCGGCGTCTGCAGACCGAATATCTTTCCAAGTTAATGGGGTCTTCTCCGAGACCATCGATACTTCTCGCATATCTGGTCACCACACCGCTCGAGGGCAACTATAACACATACGTCTCGGGCGTATCTGGCATGCATGACGTGGATCCCAGCGACTGGGACCGCTGGTGCGAGTACATACTATACAAGCGCCTCCGGCGAGTGGGCTACGCCAGGGTTTCTCGAAGCACCATCACGGATACGGAGCTACAGGTTGCGAAATTCGTCGTGCCGAAAGGCGACGCCGAAAAGGCGCAGATTGCGACGCTAGAGAGCGACGTAAAGGCGAGGGACCGTAGGGTGAGCGAGCGTGATATCCCTCAAGGTTGGCGGTTCCCAGCTCTATTTAGAGGGCAGGGTGTGAGAGGTCACCGGTATCACGTTTTCGACGAGCCACGGTACTACAACCCATGATGGATGAATGGACGGGAAGTGTACGAATGGGCTGGGCATGTAATGAGAGAACGTGTAGACGGCATAACGTGTAAGATAGGGAAAAGGGTCGGCGTACCGGATGGGAAACGTTACAACTCCTAATACTTTGAACTATCTAGGCAGCTAGGTAGGAATTGACTTTTACTACTGAATCCACATATATCACATGTTAACTGTGACCCATTTCTCGTCCTGCCCGTCCTAGTAATAGGATATCTTAATGTGACTAGGTATACATTGGTTACAGTAGGCATATGTAGGTAGAAGATGAAAGGCTCCAAGGGTTGGCAGGCCATTAACTGAAGCATCGGCAGCATTGCCGTCACTCCTAAGAGTTTCTCCGCGCCGTGCTGCTATTAATTGCCTTTCTCGTGTCTTGAGATTACCGGGGTCGTTGCAAACTCGTTCCACACACCACCCCATCAACGATGTCGGACTAGGCCTCATAGATCTGTGTAGCAGCAGTTCCGGCGTCGTAACTGGGAAGGAGACGAAAACAATATTCACGTGCCGATAAATTATTCAAATTTCATCCTGCAGCGTAAGAGACGACTCATCAATGCCAAACGCGACCCTGCATGTAAGCGCCTTGCAGTTCCTTGGATACGGGGCTGGCGCGTGGCGCGTGGCTTTCTCGTATTTCGACTGTACGCGTGGAGCTTGGTAAGATAACTCAACTGCTAGAGACAGCGACAATTTTAATTTTGGCGGGAGCATGTGCTGGCGCCTAAGTGTTGCATCCAGCCCCAAGACTCCAAGGGAAAAAAGGGCCGAGAATTGCGGCGCGACTGAACAACAAGAACATGACTGGGCCGTGGACATGAGCGTCGCGCCCTCAAGCGACCCTTCTACTTTTACTCGTGTCTCACCGGAGGAGATGGCGTGCTAACAATATGGGAATCCTGAGCTATCTCGCTCTGTGCCTATACCTACGCAGTATAAAGGCATCGTGATCCGTAGGACCTATGTGACCCGATATAACACCAGTCTTGACGCCAACGCACCGCCTAGGACATGCAGACATGCTGACCCCGACGTGCTGGGCGCTATGTTGCCTTCTGATCTCCCCTATCGCTCTTGCGGAGACTGCCCTCAGGGGCCGAAGCTCTTCTGATGTTGACGCAGCTCGCGCGGCGGTGGATGCTATGATGGCCTTGTACGATAACACCACCGGCCTCTGGGATCCTGACAACCCCGGGGGTTCTTGGTGGCAGAACGGTGTGGCCCTCTGGGCCCTTTCAGAATACATGATCAAGTCGGGATCGCGAGCCTATCTAGCCCAGGCGCAGAACACGGTCGACATCCAACGCGCACCGCTCGAGTGGTGGCCAGAGGGAGGGGGAGACTTCCGCGCCGACAGTACTGATGACACGGGCTGGTGGGCTCTTGCAATGACAAGCATGTATCAGCTCACGGGGGACGACGAGTATCTGAACATCGCCAAGGAAGACGAAGCGTACATGTTTGACTACTGGAACACGACAACGTGCGGCGGGGGGCTCATATGGAATATCCCCAACGGGACATATCACAACGCCATCAGCAACGAGCTCTACCTGGAGCTGACGGCGACCCTACACAATCTGATCCCTGGCGATACGCTCTACCTGAACCGCAGTCTCCTCGAGTGGGAATGGTTCAACAAAAGCGGCATGATCAACAGTCAGGACCTCATCAACGACGGCCTGACGGACGACGCCACATGCGTCAACAACGGGATGACGACGTGGACATATAACCAGGGCGTCGTGCTCGGCGGCTTGGTCGAGCTGAGCACAGCCCTGGGGGACTCGGCGTATCTCGAGACGGCTCGACAGATCGCGGACGCCGTGGTGAGCAGTCCCGAACTCGTCCAGGACGGTATCCTGACGGAGCCGTGCGACAGCGAAGAGGAGTGCGAGCCAAACGGCACAGCTTTCAAGGGAATCTTCATACGTGAGCTCGCGAAGCTCGATGCTGCTCTTGACGACCATCCCTACCAGTCGTTCATCATGGACAACGCTCAGGCCGCGTACAAGAACGACCGGAACGGATCCGACTTCTACGGGCTCCTCTGGCAGGGTCCGTTCGATAACGTGACCATCGGTAGCCAGGAATCCGCCGTGGATCTTTTGGTGGCAGCTTATTTATGACAGGGTTTCTACAGGTGTAGAAAGTCGCCATTAAGGGGCCCTGGGTAGAGGTGGCAGGCGTCTAGAGCTCTAGTTGGATTTCTAGCTAGCCCTTACATTAAGAAGTATAAAGGGACATGAGAACATAGCAATAAAACGAGGCGCTGTGTTTACAGCAGAGGAGACAGAAATATCCTACCTTGGCAGCTAGGTTTGTTTTGGGAAAGCCTGAATACCTAGCCCACATGAGGTTATCGCGGTTCCACTTTGGCCGCCTTGTTGATAGATGGAACTTGAACGGCTGTGTAATACAGCCAATCCGAATTGGTGTAGTGGCTAACATTTGACGCTCTCATCCTTAAAGAAGAACCGTCAAGCCCGGGGTTCGATTCCCCGATTCGGAGAAAACATATTGTATATTCCATTCTTCATACTTTTTGCTCATTTTGCTCTGTCGGTATATGGAACTGAGGATATCGGCTCTCTTATATGCAAGTCCACAACTGTAAATCGTAGATATTAGCTAGAACACCTAGGAAATGTTAGTATGTACGGGTTTGAGCAAGGTCTTCCAGGGAACGAATCTCGCAGGTTATAGCCTGTGTATTACGATATTTTATCTCATAATATTATGCTTTATCCCATCAAAACCCCAACGCCGGTGCCATGCATGCTACTCGACAAGTCTCAACGGCGACATGGTGAGCTGTCATTCCATCAAGCCTGAACGCGTCCTCCATTTCCTGTCTTGAATCCCTCAAGGATCACGGCCCAGGTTCCGCTTTCGCTTCCGAGCGTACCTTGATTGGTCGCAATCTTGCGCATAAGAAGGGCGTCCTTGGCTACTGGCAGTCGCTTACCCTCGCCACTTTCTAAACACTCCTTGAACCACTGCTCCTCCTGCGCGTCGAACGGCAAGCTGATCAAGTCAAGCGCCTTCTCGGCCGAGTGGCGACCGCTGACAGACTCCAGAGCAGACAGGACGAGACGTTGGAATAGTCGGCGGCGCATGAAGTCGGCGTGGGAGCGTGAGAATTGGAATGCGTCGACGATACTGGATCGTGCCAGGGCGGCGAACAAGAGCTCCAAAGTCGAAGACGACTGGATCAAAGGTTGCACGGTCTGGTAGTAGGCAAGCGGAAGACTGTAGTCGCCGTCCGGTGCACGGCGCACCAGAACTGTAATAATGTCGTCGACGAAGTCGGGCTGGAGGGAGGGATGGGTCAGGTATTGAAGCGCGACATCGAACTGCTGATTGTCCATGAACCACAAGCCTTGCATGAAGACCTTATAGTTATGGGGTATGTTGAGCTGGTCGGCGATATACTGGGCGCGTTCCGATCCGGTACGCTGGTCAACGTCGAGGAGGAGGTAGAATACCACCGAGGCCTTGTGATGGATAGTGGCATTCGTGCTCGCGCAGATATGCTCAAATAGCTGTTTAAGGGCGGCCTCGTTCCTCGGGGGATAGGAGCTCCCAGCATTCGAAAGGTTCAGAGCCTTCAACACGCGCTCGATAAACAGGGCGCCATCGAGACCTCGGCGGGAGGCTTCAACCTGTTGGACGAAGGAGCGATTGTAAGGGAAAGGGTCGAGAGAGTCGAATATACGACCATATTGTGTAGAATCGAGGCGCATATTTTCAACGGACAAGGTCGACCAGGGGGCAGAGTCGGCTTGAATGCTTGTGTAAATCGAGAGGAGCGTTGTTTAGAATATTTGCGGGACAACACCGAGCTCTGAAGGAGAGAAGCTGGTCCTCAACACAAACTTGCTATGAGGCAGGTAAGTTGAACTGTAGGCGGTGCAGATGTTGGTGCAGATATTGGTGTATTACATAATCTACCTAGGAGGTAGGCAGTAGATAGCGCTCGCTTGCCGATAAGATGCTCTGACGCGTCGGTCAAAGGCAGCGTGGTGGCCTGGGCTGGCATGGATTCTGGAGTCCTGCAATGAGTGAGCAACAGTGCTGCAGGAGTGCACTGTAATCCCCTGTAACACAGGGTGGCATTTATGCCTTGCGCACCCGCATAAGCCGCCTTAGGGTTTAGGTACGTGCCTGGCCCACCTAGCAGCTTAGCGGGGAAAGGGGCAAGGCTGTTGTTTGGTGGGGACATGAGGGACCAAGTTGTTTACCAAGTCTGTATTGTTTACTTACATACCGAAACTCGCTACCTCACCGCGACAATCACCATTCGCACTTCAAAGAAGCACAGCCATACAATAGCTTGTCGCGCATAAGAAGATAACATAGAAATCAACAGAGACTACTAACACGTTCCCTTTCGCACTGCATAGTAAGTCCCAAGATGTCTACACGACCAACCCGTCGGGCCGCGGCTCGACGCGTAGCTATAATCGAGTCCGAGGACGAAGACGACCTGGTCGGAAACACTACTCAGAAGATCAAGCAAGAAGAGAGCGAGGATGAGTTTGCCCCCGAAGCTACCACCTCCAAGACTTCACGTCGTCAAACACAAAGCCGAAGGAAGTCCACCGCCCCTGCGACACCGCGCGCGAGCCGGTCGAGGAAGAGCGCCAGCGTCGCTGCCGAACCTACGACCGAAGCGAACGAGTTGCTCGACCCCGATCAATCAGCTGCTACCATTTTGAGCCCGGATTCCGCAAAGAAGGCCTCTCCGAGGAAGCGCAAGAGCGTTGCGCCGCGCAAGGTCAGCAAAGAGGCTACGCCCGACACCCAGCCCCGTATGCCTACCCCCGCCCAGTCTGAGGAGCCGTCCGAGCTACACGGCATGCCTCTGGCCGATATCACCAGCCAGAGCATCAACGAGCACTCGCCATCTCCAGACGAGACCGTCACCCAGATCAAGCCCATCCGCCCCATGGACACGATCCTGGAGAAGCCTATGGATATCGTCCTCAAGTCACGCAAGATGGCCATGCCTGCTGTTGTCGAAGACACGGGCCCCAAGGCTCGAATCGTTATTACGTACCTAATCTTGACCAACTTCAAGAGCTATGCTGGTCGGCAAGAAGTTGGCCCGTTCCACTCATCATTCTCGTCCGTCGTGGGACCCAACGGTTCTGGAAAATCCAACGTCATCGACTCTCTTCTCTTCGTCTTTGGATTTAGGGCGAGCAAGATGCGACAGGGAAAGATATCTGCCCTGATCCACAGCTCTGCCGCCCACCCAGAAATCGATCACTGCGAGGTGGCAGTTCATTTCCAAGAAGTAATGGACTTGGTAAGTCTGTTGCTGCCAGCTACCTCTTGCACAGGGAGCGCTAACATCGACCTAGCCCGGCGGCGGAGTAGAAGTTATTCCCAACTCCCAGCTCATCATCTCCAGAAAGGCCTTCAAGAACAACTCGAGTAAATATTATATCAATGGCGGCGAGTCCAATTTCACAATCGTTACTACGCTGCTTCGCGACAGAGGCATTGATCTCGACCACAAGCGCTTTCTCATCCTGCAGGGTGAGGTGGAGTCTATCGCCCAGATGAAGCCGAAGGCTGCCAACGAGCACGAGGACGGTCTTCTTGAGTATCTTGAAGACATCATCGGCACCTCCAAATACAAGACACCCATCGAGGAGGCGGCCGCCGAAGTAGAGACGCTCAACGAGATCTGCATGGAGAAGAGTGGACGTGTCCAGCATGTAGAGAAGGAGAAGAACAGTCTCGAGGACAAGAAAAACAAGGCTCTGGCCTTCATTCGAGACGAAAACGACCTGACGCTAAAGCAGTCTGCGCTCTACCAGCTCTACATCAGCGAGTGCAACAACAACGTGGGCGTCACCGAGGAGGCGATCAACCAGATGCAGGCCCAACTCGATGCCGAGCTCGAGAAGCACCAGGGCAGCGAGCAGGTCATCAAGCAGCTGCAGAAGGTGTATGCCAAAGGATCCAAGGATTTTGAGTCTCAGGAGAAGACTGTCCAGGGCCTGGTCAAGGAGGCCGCCAAGTTCGAGCAAGAAAGGGTCAAGTTTGATGAGAGGCGAAAATTCTTGACGGAAAAGCAGAAGAAGCTAGAGAAGACCATCACGAACGCTGAAAATTCGACGGTCGAAGCTGAGGAGACGATCGAGCAGTGCACCGAGGAGATCGCCTCTCGCGCCGAGGAGACCGTGGCCCTAGAGCAAAAGGTACAAGAAGAGGAGGCCGAGCTTGCGACAATCCGAGACAGCCTCAAAGGGAAGACACAGGTGTTCTCTGAACAGATCGCTGCCAAGCAGAAGTCCCTTGAACCTTGGAAAGAAAAGATCAACCAGAAGCAGTCAGCCATTGCCGTGGCCGAGTCTGAAATGACCATCCTCGAAGAGAAGGCCAACGCTGGTGCAGTCGCTCTAGAGGACATGCAGAACAAGATCAGTCACATCGAGGAGAGCCGCGCCGCAAAACTGGCCGAGTTGGAAGACCGCCAAGCTGAGAAGGCAAAGCTAGAGAAGGAGGCAAAGAAAGTCTCTGCCGACCTCGACAGCCTGACTCAGATGGAGCCGAAAGTTCGATCGAAGGTGTCGAACGCCAGGCAGAAGGCGGAAGAGGCGCGATCCAGCCTCTCGCAAACTCAAAACCGAGGCAACGTGCTGACGGCGCTTATGCGTATGAAAGAGTCTGGTCGCATAGACGGCTTTCGTGGCCGCCTCGGAAACCTGGGCACGATTGACGAAACATACGACGTCGCCATCTCCACGGCGTGTCCCGCTCTCGACAACTTCGTCACCGATACGGTGGAGGCTGGACAGCAATGCATCGAGTATCTTCGGAAGACCAACCTGGGCCGTGGCAACTTCATCTGCCTGGACAAGGTACGTGGGCGTAACTTGCAGCCGATCCAGACTCCCGAGGACGCGCCGAGGCTGTTTGACCTGATCAAAGCCAAGGAGGACATATACCGGCCCGCATTCTACCACGTCCTAAAAGATACGCTGGTCGCAAAGGACCTGGCTCAGGCGAACCGGATCGCCTACGGGGCCAAGCGATGGCGAGTGGTAACACTTGACGGGGAGCTCATCGACCTAAGCGGTACCATGTCTGGAGGTGGAAGCACGCCCAAGCGAGGCTTAATGTCGAGCAAGCTAGTGGCCGACTTGAGCCAAGAACAAGTCACCAAGTTGGAAAGCGACCGCGACTCGATCGAGCAGAGCTTCCAGGAATTCCAGGAGCACCAACGAGAACTGGAAACCCGTCTCAGGTACCTAAAAGACCAAATCCCCCAGCTAGACACCAAGATGCAGAAGATCGGGCTCGAGGTGCAGAGCGCCGACAAAAACCTTGCAGATGCCCAGCGGCGTGTGAAGGAGCTGAGCAAGGAACATCAGCCATCGCAGTCTGACCACAACAGGGTGGCGGCTCTGCAAAAAGAGATTGCCAAGCTCAACAAGGAGATGACGAAGCTCCACGCCGAGACGGAGGGCGCGGAAGCAGAGATTAAGGAGCTCCAAGACAAGATTATGGAAGTCGGCGGAGAGAAGCTTCGTGCACAGCGTGCCAAGGTTGACTCCCTGAAAGAGGAAATCTCGGCGCACAGCGAGGAGACGTCGAACGCCGAAGTGAGGAGAGTCAAGGCCGAAAAGTCCAAGACGAAGCTCGAAAGGGACCACGCCAGGGCTACCAAGGAGCTGGAGGTGGCGAAACGCGATCTTGAGAAGCTCGAGGACGAAGTCGAGAACCAGGGTAGCAAGTCCGAGTCTCTGAATGCCCGTGTCGAGGAGGCCGAAGCAGAGCTGGCCGAGAAGAAGGGCGAGCTGTCTGGGATCAAGACCGAGCTGGACGAAAAAACGTCGGAACTTAACGAGACGCGCGCGGTCGAGATCGAGATGCGCAACAAGCTGGAGGAGAACCAGAAAACGCTGGTTGAAAACCAGAAACGTCTGCGATACTGGGACGACAAACTAAGTAAGCTTGTCATCCAGAACGTAAGCGATCTCAGCGGCCCTCCGCAACCCAAGAAGCCAGCCAAGGAGGAAGGGCAAGAAGAGGCCGGAGAGACGGAAGAAGAGGAAGAAGAACAGCAGGAGCAGAAGCAGGAGCAGCAGCCCGAGGATCTCCCGCGATTCACGGATGACGAGTTGAAAGACATGGACAAGGACACGCTGAAGGCCGAGATTGCGGCTCTCGAGGAGAAGACGCAAAACGTCAACGTGGACGTGAGCGTCCTGTCCGAGTACCGGCGGCGCGTCGAAGAGCACGCATCTCGGTCGTCGGACCTAGCCAGCGCCATTCAGCAGCGCGACAGTGCTAAGAAGCGGTGCGACGACCTTCGGCGGCTCCGGCTGGAAGGCTTCATGGAGGGCTTCAGCACCATCTCGCTGCGGCTAAAGGAGATGTACCAGATGATCACGATGGGTGGCAACGCCGAGCTAGAGCTCGTGGACAGCTTAGACCCCTTCAGCGAAGGCATCCTGTTCTCCGTCATGCCGCCCAAAAAGAGCTGGAAAAACATCAGCAACCTCAGTGGCGGCGAAAAGACGCTGTCCAGTCTCGCGCTCGTATTTGCGCTGCACCACTACAAGCCGACGCCTCTGTACGTCATGGACGAGATCGACGCAGCTCTAGATTTCCGAAACGTAAGTAGCTTTGTCCTCTCTGCTCTACTGGCCCCGTTACGGGTTGCCATGTCACCTTGTCATCTCGTTTTACTAACTGCGTTCTATCACTAGGTGTCGATCGTGGCCAACTATATCAAGGAGCGGACCAAGAACGCGCAGTTTGTCGTCATCTCGCTTCGCAACAACATGTTCGAGCTCGCCGCCCGTCTGGTGGGTGTTTACAAGGTCAACCACATGACGAAGAGCGTGACGATCGAGAACCGAGACTTCATCTCTCGAGGCGCGGTAGCGAGGAGTCACCAAGGTGGCCAGGCAGTGGCTTAACGATGTTGACGATTTTGCTCGATACGTACTTTGACGATGATGAAATGGGTTGGCATGACGTGTAACGAGTGGGAGTGGGCTTTGGTCAATTTCAAGACAGCAAGGCGAACGGTTACGCGTATGATAAACGCTAGGCAATTGTGTGTAGTCAAGAAATGAATATCATGTTCGGACATAAATACCCCCCGGTCCTTCATAAACCGAATGCAAATAGTTCAAAGTGCCACTTCAAAGAGGCGAAGAAACATTATAGACCTTGGATTGTAGACCTTGGATTGCTTCTCAAATCTCGTGAATGAAAGGACACAAATAATTATACGGATACATGTGCAACTTGGTTTTCAAATGTAAACTGTAATATCAATGAAAATAGTGAGATTAGCTCGGGTTGGCGAGATCGTATCGTAGAGGACGGATTGTTTTGCGAAGAGGCTGATCCGGAGTAGGTGGATGACTGTGAAGGTACGTGTGCAAGTGCTATATAAGTCGAGTATTCACTAACTCTAACATCTACGGGCGCTTGGTCTAGGGGTATGACGTCTGCTTCGCACTAATGTATAACAGTGTATGCTGAAGGTCCGGGGTTCAATTCCCCGAGCGTCCAATCTTTTGCTCGTCGGCTCTTCTCAACTGGAGCCTACACTTTTTTCAAGTCCGATAGGTACCCTGCCTCGCCCCCGCACCAGGAGACATCAGGAATTCATCTCTGCTCCGTATGTGATCCGTAGATGAAGAACAATAGACCTCGAAGCGAAGTGCCTGTGAGAGCATCGAGAGGCACGAACCAGGCATTGAGCGTGTTGCTAAGAGTATAACTCCGATTGGTTCAATAACGGGCCATTCAGGTATACCGTATGGAAAAGAACTAGGTGCATTCACGTCAAAGAAATCATCCTGGTACGCAATGACATAATGACTTGATTCATTGAGAGTCACTATCTGAGAATATCATGCCGAAAACCGTTCCTCATGCGACGCATGACCATTCCCGAGCAACCAGATTGTCCCCAGACCCATCATTCCGTGACACCAGATCAAAGCACCTAAGCAACCTTGGCAGTCTGGGTGGGAGCCACCTTCTTGCCGTCCTTGTTGTAACGCACACGCGGGGGAGGAGCTCTGTTACGGCGACCTACTCGCGATCGGACACTAGTGAGTTTGTTAGCACTACGGCTCCAAGAGTGGAGGGAACGGAGGCGGGTCTCGAAGAGAAGAGGCAGGGGGCAGTCGAGGGCGGAGTGTAGAGAGACGGGGGACGGAGGGGAGGCGTGGGAACGAGGAGAAGGGAAGCAATCGAGGTTCAACCAAGGCTCGTCTCAGGCGCATACGCAGGCCCGAAAGACGAGCGCGTAGTCATACTCCCGACGGGAACGACGTACCGGACGATCTTGCCGTGGATGGCGCAAGAGACACAGTACTGCAGCTTGAGGTACATCTTGGGAACCGTGTACTCGGCGAAGACGGAGGCATCCGAGATATCACCTGCAGTAAGCACATCGAGTCAGCACAAATACATCTTGGTGAGGGGAGGGCGTGGGAGCCTGGGCTGCGGCGGACGTACGGATAGCTGCAGACTCGACCATGTTGCGGATGGTGAAGCGCTTGATGGCCTTGTCCTTGGGGGTGCATCGCGAGCAGTTGCTGCAACGGATGGGCTTGACGTGGCCGCGGCCCTTCTTGTTGCGGCCGTTGTTCTTTCTCTTCTTGACCATGGTTGCGGTGTTCTGTGATACTGCGGCGTCAGCGGTGGTTCAGTACGTGACGATTTGAGCTTCCGCCCAAGACGAAGGAATAAGGGTGTAGCTCGTAGATTGGACAGGAGCGGGCAGGATGGTAGACTGATGAGTGCTGGCAGAGAGAGAGAGAAGGGATTCACGTACAGACTATGGGTGTCGGTTGTTGTCAAGAGGAAGGTGAAAGTGTGTCGAAATTTGGTGTGAAGTGTTTTGCTATGTGGAAAATGTCGAGATGCAGCGAGGTCCCACCACTGCACCAAGTAGAAAAAAGATTGAGCCAATCACAAAGCCGTTGGCCTACCTAATTGGCGATTTAATGTGGTGGGCGGGGCTCGGCAGGGCAAGAGTGGGAGGAAACCCTACCACGTGATTGCCGATAAGGCTTATCGGGCTTTCCCACTCAGCTAACAGCCAAGTGGGTAAATTCTTCTCCAAGCTCATCCCACCATAACCTTTTTCTTTTCCTCTTCTCTCTGCAAACGAAACCAACCCTTTCTGAAGATTGCTTAGGACGGCAATAGTGATATTGTCTAGGTACGTGTGAACAGATAAACTCATCATAGCCCTCTCTATACGCCGAGTGCCCTGATCGCACGAAGCTTCCTTTTCCATAACGTCCGCGTTGCGCCAGTTTGCCGCATCAGCTCGACAGCCCGAACTCGCACATCGCGGCGGCAGCAGCACAAACCCACGCAACTCAACTCGTCGCATCAGCACTAGAAATCACTGGCAGTAGACCTAGCTCAGTCGCTAACACTCGTCGCTTCAGGCAATCATGCAGATCTTCGTCAAGACCCTCACGGGCAAGACTATCACCCTCGAGGTGGAGTCGAGCGACACGATCGACAATGTCAAGTCCAAGATTCAGGACAAGGAGGGCATCCCCCCCGACCAGCAGCGCCTGATCTTCGCCGGCAAGCAACTCGAGGACGGCCGAACCCTTTCCGACTACAACATCCAGAAGGAGAGCACCCTGCACCTCGTCCTGCGCCTCCGTGGTGGTGCCAAGAAGAGAAAGAAGAAGGTGTACACGACCCCCAAGAAGATCAAGCACAAGCGCAAGAAGACCAAGTTGGCCGTCCTGAAGTACTACAAGGTCGACGGCGACGGCAAGATCGAGCGTCTGCGACGAGAGTGCCCTGCCGACACCGTGAGCTCTTCCCACCTTCGCATCCGTTCTCTTACCACGCTGCTAACCATAACCAACAGTGCGGTGCTGGTGTCTTCATGGCCGCCATGCAGGACAGACAGTACTGCGGTCGCTGCCACCTTACCTACGTGTTCGACAAGCAGTAGGAGTCCGTCGCTGAGATCTGGGGTCGTTGGGTTGGTGGCTTGCTACACTGAGATAGGCTTTGCGCTCTAGAGAACAGGCCTGGTGGTGGAGGCTGCATCATGAAATAAATGATTACGACCAACAACATGTCTATACGGCTGTCCAACCCATCTTGATCGTGCCTTGTGACTTGTGACATCGGCCCTCTTCCATCTACCTAATGTATTCCATGGTTTTCCCAACATGCAGATTACAAAACCTGCTCTCTTCCATTGTAGCTCACTGTGTGTTATGTCCCCAGCCGCCTTAGACCACGACTCTGAAGTTTATGATCTGCGATGCTTCTATATCTCGTACCTGCCCTAATCCAACCTTCATTCTTATACCCGAAGCATTCGTTATACCGCAAGCATCACGGGGTAATGGATATGTTGTCGCTGCCTACCACTCATGCTACCGCAGGGTCAGCTTTACTTGGCTCTACATCCTACAGCTCATATTGTGCTTGGACAAGACACCAGGTTTCTCGTATCCCCAGGAAGGCAACCAAGCAAGCGTGTACCTGGGCAAGGTAAGCAAGGGTTGATCGTCATGTTATTCTACGTAGCTCATCTGGTATGCTTTTTTATTCTCGTAAATTGTTCCAATCCAACCCCTACTGCAGTCTTTACTTTATTAGTTGTTGGGAAATCCAGACCTGAGATTGTCGTATTTGGTGTGCGGATACTCGATGCAATTCTGCGTGCTGTCGAGGGCCGCCGGGCCACCCAGCACGTCGACCACGTTCGCGATCAGGCTCTCTGGCCCGGCCTTGTCCGCGCTGCTCTCCCACCACATGGCACCGCCTAGCTGCCGCTCTTGTTTTAGGTACTGCGTCTTGTGCCGCGCCATGTCGACCGTGTCGTAGCTGACGAGCGTGCGCGTGCCCGGCTCGTAGCAGTAGCTCGCACCCGCCTCCCGGTCGATCTGCTCCGCAGCGCCCGCGAGGGGCAGCTTGCAGAAATCGTGCACGCCCGCCTCCCACGTCCCCTCCCCCACGCCGCTGTAGGGCGCCCCCAGGCCGTCGGTTCCCTGGAAGGCCCGACCGTACAGCGGCATGCCCAGCACGATCTTGTCGCTCCGCACGCCCCGAGACACGTAGTGGTCGAGCGCGGCGGCCGTGCTGAAGGGCGTGGCGCGCGCGTTGGTCGGGCTCGGGAACAGGTTCGCCTGGTGGCCCGAGACGGCGTCCCAGGACCCGGCGTAGTCGTAGGCCATGAGGTTCCAGAAGTCCAGCAGCTGGTCCATGGCGGGCAGGTCGAGCTTGGAGTAGTTCTGGGCGCCGGCCGGGCACGCCACCGTCAGCTCGAAGTGGTACGGGGCGGGGAGGGTGCCGCTGTACGCGTCCATGGCCTCGCGCACGGCGCGCAGCAGGGCGACGAGGTCGGCGGCCTCGGCGGCGGACTGCGGGTACTCCCAGTCGATGTCGATGCCGTCGAAGCCCAGGTTCTTGATCAGGTCGACACACGTGCTGGCAAAGGTAGCACGGCCGGCCGCCGTAGACGCGGGCTGCTTGAAGTTGCTGCTGTAGGTCCAGCCGCCGACGGATAGCAGGACCTTGAGCTGGCGGTTTCGGCGCTTAAGCAGGTTCAGCTGCTTCAGGCAGCCGTACAGGTTGGTGCCAGTGTCATTCCAGCTATCGCCTTCCCAGTGGATGTCGGTGTCGGCCCAGGTGTCGGTGAGGTAAACCTCGCCAGAGTCCGGGCGCACGTTGGCGAAGGCGTACAGAATGTGAGTGAGCTTGTCGGCTGGCAGGTCCTGAGGCCGGTGCTTACGACCGTAGATGGCCCAGTTGACGAAGTACGCAACTGTGCGGTATCCCTGCTGCGGTCCGGCCATCTTGACGGGTACTGGGTAGAAATGAGCGGCGGAAGTATCGTGACTGTAATCCAATATGTACCTGAAGATAGGTTATGTACCTAAGCTATCTGATACAAGCTGACAAGCCGGCGGTGAGAGTCCTGGGGTTTCGGCGTGTTGATATTTTGATGTTGCGATGCCGAGACCCGGGAAGCGGGGATGTTGGGCCCGTGGTCCCTCGTTCTTGCATCACAAATGGTTTATAAAAATGGGCTGCAACTGCTAGTCGCGAGTGCACTTGACCAAACGCGCGCAGCATAGCGCCGCTCTTTACGACCGTGATGCCCCTATCATTTTTGTACCTCGGCATCTTTCGTTACCGCTTCTGTAGCTGCCACAGAACATTACCTATAGCGCCGCCATAAGGAATGTGATGTTAGGGACGGGGGCATCTGAAGAGCCACTAGAGTTCGGCTGACGATAGATAGGCTTCATTACTGAATCTTTTCGCAGCAGAAAGTAGCTAGCTATAAGGGGATGAAATGCTAAAGCCCGCTGTAATTATACTCGCTATCTGACTAGACGAGGTTCTCGTCGCCTGCGCCTAGAACTTACCTAGCATCCGCCCTGCCTGTCGCGGTACTGTGTCAAGTTGGTCGATGCCATATGGGGGTTTCTCATCTCCTGGGAAAACCGGGTCGTGATCCCAGGGCCGTGGTACCATCGTCGCATCGTCGCTACCTACCCTAATCT